CCCCCCCCCCCCCCAACTTTTCACCTTATTCAGTCTTAATATATTCCTGAGTACACTCTCAAACATATTTTCGGAAACACTTGAGTCTGATCTAATTATGTTTCGCGGGGCTAGTGAGGGAGGGTTTCACCTTTCCCTCAAGTTTAAAAGGCTACTATGACAGTTGCATAGTTTGTCTCACATTTTTGTTGGAAAAGGTTTCTTGAATTGATGACACAACCCAACCTTCACCTAACAAACATCATGTACCTTTGTCAGGCTTGAAATCGGCCAACAGTCGCAGAAGCTTGTTTCTGTTTGCCACAAGAATGTTGACAATGTCTGGAGGCTTGTTTTGGTTCGCTGCAAACAGCTGTACAAATGTGATAACATGATAAATCTCTCCGAGTTTCCCTTTCTATTACAAAGATCTACCACAACATCAGCCAACCTGAACAAGTTCTTTCACTTTCAAGGCTCGGTTAGAATGGTCGTTAGCCAATAAATAATAAACATGATTTACCAGCGTTGTCCATTATGTTTCAGCATGGAATTGCATATCGTTTGACAATTGATTAGTTTCATTCACAGTAGATAGATATCACAAGAAACAAGATAGATACCTTGAAGACATGGAAAGCTTCAATTTGTATGCTCTTGCTTGATTCCTGAAACATTCAATGTTTCATTTATAGGCCCGAGTTTAGTCCAAACATCAATAAAGTCCTCGACAGAAGGTCAGAAACAAAGTTCAGCGATCAAGTGAAGCATCATACTCTGAGAAGATTCATGAGAATCCTTAAGTTATCTCTGGAGCTCACATATTTCGTCATTACAGCTGAATTTGATCGATCCAGCAATATATCACCCAACAACTGTAACAATTAATACAAATACCATAAATTAGATCACTCTATTTGTTGGTATATGTTTTCCAAGTTTTTTTATGGCTAAATATAACCCTCTGTAACTTGTAAGTTACTCTACCTTAACAGCCTGTCGTCTGGTAATATAATTACTGGATTCGAGAAGCTTTGAGTTATACTCAGCAAAGAACTGAAAACAAAATGACAGAGAATCATACAAGAGAAATTCAAGACATTAAGCCAAACTGAAAACGTGAATCCAGGCAGAAATCTCCAAAACTGGTAACTTAATCTGAGAACTTACCCAGTCATAATTCTTAGAGAGAAACTCAGCGACAGTAGACTTGTGCCTTGTCAAGAGTTCCTGCAACAAAATTTTACAGAATTAGAAGAAATGTTCAATGGTGGCAGATATGAATCAAGATGAGAAGATCTAAACGGTAATTCAAGCAGAGTTCAGAGAATGTTGTGGTGTTCCAGAACCTTAAAGGTTGCAGCAGCATCTGCAGCAATGTCAAAATTGGGGAGCTGTATGAAATCGAAAAACTTCTTCATGTGCCGTGATTCCAAAACATATCTGAATCCCAGAAAGATGAACGCCTTTAAATATAATGAGCCCATTAAAAACCTATGACTGTAGCTACAGTATATAACTTTCCAGTAGTCTATTGTATAGAGACGAAACCAGCAACTGCATAAGTTTTTACTGTAGCTAGTGTATAGTTTTTGCTCACTTTGCAACAGTCTGATGGCGGATGCACTCCCTCAACATAGCACCATAATGTAAAGCCATGTCCGTGTTCTCATAGCTGAGACAATCACAAACCAATGAGCATATAAATCCATAGAAAAGACAAATAATTATCATGAAATACCAACTTCGGAGACCATTAATGAAAATGTCTACTATGACTTCCTCAGAAGTCAGAACTATTCCTTCACCAAACTCACCCTTCTATAAGGATATCCATAAGATCAATGTTGGCTTCCAGATAATCAGATGCAATCAGCCTTGAATTGACTTGTTGCCTCTGTAAATTTGCAACAACCTGTGTAGCATCTTTCCTGGCCTAAAAAAAAAGCCAATCTCTCATATCTGGATGAGTTATGAAACCAAGAAGACCAAAACATATCCAACCGTTCTGTATCCTCAACTTGATAACCAAAAAGACATACCTCCAAGTTGAGTGTCGGGAGACATCTAATTAAGAGGCGGAGAGTATTCTCCTTAAAGAATTCCTGAGTCAACTGGGCACAGGCTTCAGCGACAGGCTCAGCCTCACTGTTTCCATATAGGATCGACTTCATCTCCCGGATATTCTTGCTAAGCTCTGCCATCTACAACCGGAAAACCAGACGCTAGAACTGAGTTGGTAGGCGTGATTTACTGAACGTATCATCCAAAAACACGTGGTCCAGAAAATTACATCACAGTAAGAGAATAAACTATCCAAGATCTGCTCAATTGAAGCACGGAAAGCTACAGGGCACCTACATTCTCTTCGATTAACAAAAGGGAGCGGTATCTCAGTAACCTAGGTTCCGTCCATACCAAAAGGTTCGAGAACCTTTCGGCGTCGGAATCAGAAGGCGAAAAAACAGGTTTCAGGAGTAAAACAGATGATTCCTCAAGATGGAAGCGAAAATAACGTGAATAATCAAACCCAGAATCAGATCGGCTTATCCAGGGTAACGAACAAAGAGAAAAGACCTTCTCCTCTCGCTTGGATTCTCGGAGGTCAGGCAAGGAGACGGCTCGATCGGCGTAGAGGAGGAGATCGCGCGTCTGGCGGACGATATCGGGGGGAGTGCGAGGCTTGGATTTGAAGAGGCCCTTCATCTTAGGTCCGCCGACGAGATCAGACTGATCAGTCGCTTCTCCGACGGAACCGGAACCGGATCCACCTCCGAGGTGCTGGGACGAGAGCCTCTTCGCGGACTTTCCAGAGGCCCCGGGCACATGCCCAGCACCTGTCTTGGACACGCACGTCCCTATCCTTACCTCCTTTGACCTCTCCCTCTCTCGATTTCTGGATCTCCTAGGGTTTGGGTTCCACCATGCCTCTTCCGTCTATATTTTTAGCATGCTGCTGCTATATACACATGTATATCTCTATTTTTCCTGAAATTTAGCTGCGATCAAATTCGGAACAAGTGACAGCCTCTCCCCATCCTCCACGTGGATTGATGTATTTATCTATGGTGGCTGACGCGCCATATGACCGGATGATTCTCGTGGATTTTTGAGCCGGGGGGGGGGTGAGGTGGGATTCCTTTTTTTGTTTATGAGAAGCATCGGTCATACTTACCAAATGCAGCTAATGCGTTACAATTTTGATAAGGCGGAAGAAATCTTTCGTATAAGAAACAATAAACAAGTAAAAGACAGATAGTGATAAATAAACACTGTTGGTGGATACTTTGGGCAATTGAAAACGCCCCCTCAATATCAAAACATAACAAGTCGGGTACAAAAACCACAACTACGAGAGATCGGCGTCTTCTCATCTGCAAACCTTGCCATTGTTACTTGCACAGAACAGAACAGGAGATACCCCTTTATTCTTTGTCTTAACAGTGAGAGATTGAAAGAAAAAAATCAGCGGCCCCCATAAACCCATTTTGACAAATTCCATATTATTCCAAGGGAAAATCCCAAAAAAATTACTAATACCGAACTTTTTCAATTTCCAAATTAAATATGAGTTCTTGATTTTGACATAAAAAATAATTAACTTGTAAATTTTTTACAAAAATCTCATCGAAAACTTTCGGAGTCTGCAATAGAAGAGGATTGTCAGTTTATTAAACCACATCGAGCTTACCCCCCACCCTAAATGCAGCCTACACATAAGCTCGCCTATTCATGATTTGCCAGCAATTAGTTAGATGCAGAACCACAAAACCATACTGACCTATCCACCAGCATCTTTTAGCCCTCACCCACCCTAAAATACTTCCCAAACCACTACCCCGTGTGATCCATCCATTATCATTACCAATCTAAACCCAGGTTACATGCAAACTTGGTCTCCACTCCAGTAACTGATGCAAAGTCTCTCAATTTGCTGTGGCATACAACCACCAATATGAGATCTGTTGTTTCGGGTTTAGTTTCCATAGGCAGCAAAAATTAACCAATGCAAATACCCTATCTTCTCCAAGTGAGAGGCTAAGGGGAGCACAAGCCGGACAATAGAATTGGAACACAACTACCACAAGAGAAAACCAAAATGGATGAAATAAGCTCCCAGAGAACCACTTCTGGATTTTTGTTTCTACTTGCAAAGCTTGAATCTTCAGATTTCTTACATGGGACTTTAGATAGAGCTTTGAAGTACCAAAAAAAAAAACTTTCAACATGCCTCAGGGTACAGGTAGAAGAATTAGAAAAACCTATAGCAACGCTAGACGCTAGGTCACTAAGAGAACCAATTAACAGTGTTACCTACTGGGGCATCATGTTTCACTCCAGACATATCTGAGAGTAGTGTGTACATAAAAAAACAGTATGATGAAACAGAACAAACCTGATACTCTCATTCTTACAACTTAATGCAGAATACAGAAGCCAAATGCCGGAAAATTTGGGCTTTCAGAGAATCATATGTTGGTGACAATGAATGAGAAAGCTTTGTTTATTGTGAATGAGTATGCCAGCAGCAGATACAGAGACAGAAAACGCAGATTTGACTTACAAAAGGAATCTTTGAAGCTTTATCGTTCCAAACGGCGGCCAGGCCCAGAGTGACAAAGAACCCTAGACCTCCACACAGCCATCCCAGTGCTTCATACTGCTCAAACATCCAAAATCAATCGGGATTATAATCAAAATCGCCGGAAAATACAAGAAATCATAAGAAAATGCGTACCTTTCCAACGGTATCAGCAATCCGATCAACGCAGGGTTCGGGAAATGCTGTGCCGTTGTCCCAAACGAGTTCGTCGTTAACCGGAAGCTGAAGCAACGTAAAAAAAAAGGAGAATGGAGATGTAACCCGCAGATCCTTTTGTAAAATGAGGAGGAAGATAAGGGAACATACTGACCGGCTTGTCGGGGACGATGTGTTTGCCGACGGGGAGACCCATGCCGGCGCGCTGGCGAAGAGAAGAACCGACAGATCGGGCAACAACGCCGTTCCCACCCATGATCCGCGACGCAACGCCGCTCAATCTTCCTGCCATTTTCTCTCTCTCTGTGTTCTGGAGATCCAAATTCACTCGGCCGATTACGATTAGGGCAGGAACTTCAGCTATCCTCAGCACCAACTATTAATTTTGGCCCAATAACCATTACCTGTATAAATTCTATAAAAACAATTTTTCACTTATAAAAAAATATTAGGAATTTTTTTATTAAAAATAATAATTAATAATTCTTTTTATAATAAATTTAAAATAAAAGATTAGTTTAAAAAAATTATATAATTGATGATAGTTTTTATTCCAAATTAATAGTTGATGGTTGTTTACAATTAATTTTAAATAAAAGTTTTTTTGATGTAAAGATGATAGTAGAAGATTTTTTTTTAGATTTGTCCCATTTTGACAGTTTGGCCCAACGACGTCGTTTTTCTATTTGTACCAGAACTCAATGTACAAGTTCTAGAAAAAGTTAGAATTTTTAACAATTACTGTGGGGATTCAATTCAACAATCGATCACGTGAATTCAATTCAACAATGGATATAGTTGATGATACAGTGGAGATGAGAACATGAATCATTAGAAGTCAAAGGCCCAACTGCCTCTGCGCATCCAATAAAGAGTGGGCCGAATTATTAAGGCGAACGGTCTCTTCATGGGTCATGTCCAGATTAGAGACGGATATAACACCGGAGCGGCCGAGCAGAGCAGGAAGGCTCAAGAACACGTCCCCGCCTTCAATACCATAAAAACATCGAGCCAGAAGGGAGACGGGATGGATCTTCCGCTGGTCACGGAGCAAAGAACGAGCCAGATTGGCCACAGAGTAGCCGATGGCCCATGAAGTGTAGCCTTTGAGGTTGATGACTTCATAGGCGCTTTCAACCACTTGTTTGTGAATGGTCTCGAGGGTCTCTTTCTCCAGGAAGCTATGGACAGGGATGCCTCCCACGCTTATGCTTGACCATAACGCCACCGAGCTGTCTCCATGCTCCCCCACGATGTAAGCCTGCATCATCCAAACCTCACTCCTATATATTGCTCATCTCTTCCTTTCTTTTTTTTTCGAGGGAAATGATATTTTTTTATACGATACTTTGTAAGATGTGATTTTTTTCTACGTAAATTTTTAATTTGATAAAAAAACTATACCAAATTATCAAATATCCCAAATTGATACACGAATTACCCAATTTTAATACAATTTCCTACACAATCCGAAACGGTGTCAGATATTCGTTAAAAGCTGATGTGGAATAACACGTGGCGGTTGACATGACACGCCACGTAAAAAAATTTTACCACATCAGCATGTCACGTCAGATTTAAAAACAAAAAAATCGAAAAAAATAAAAATAAATTGAAAAAATGAAAATAAAAAGCAAATATATATATATATATTCATATTTACATACAAATACAAATATAAATATACATACTCTTATGTATAAATATATCTATATATTTGTACAAAATAAAAAAATATATACATATATATATACAAACATCTATACAGATGTATATACATATATATACATACAAATATATTTATATATATACACATATATATATATATATATAAATATATTCACATATATATGTGTGGATATACATATATATATATACATACATACATACAAAATAAAAAATATATACATATATATACATACATCTATGCAAATATATGTGCATATACATATATACAAATATATTTATATATATACATACATATATATAAATACATATACACGTCTATATGTATATATATACATATGCATATATATATATATACATATATATATACAAAATAAAAACATACATATATATATACATATATATTGATATCCACACACAAATATAAATATAAACATATATACTTCTATGTATAAACATATATATATATATAGATAGGAGTATATATATGTTTATATTTGTATTTGTATATAGATATGAATATATATGTATATATATGTTTTTTTTTGCTTTTTATTTTTATTTTTTAATTTATTTTTATTTTTTCGAGCTTTCGATTTTTTATCTTCTTTTTTTTTTAAATATGACGTGACATTCTAACGTGACAAAAATTTTCATATGTCAGACACCACGTGGCATTCCACGTCTTTAACAGATAATTAACATCGTTTCAGATTGGGTAGAAAATTGCAATAAAATTGGATAATTCTTGTATCGATTCAGGATATTTGATAATTTAGGATATTTGATAATTCTTGTATCAAATTAAAAGTTCTTATAGAAAAAAAGTCATATTTTATAAAATGTGCCTATTTCTTTTCTTTTGTTTTTTATTGAAAAACTGACCTGCACGTCCTGAGCATTGACGTCCAGATGATCGGCTATCAGGAATCGGAAGCGGGAGGAATCCAGATTGGTGCCGGACCCAATCACCCGATTGACCGGAAAACCCGAGAGCTTCCAGGCGACGAAGGTCAGGACGTCTACGGGATTGGAGACGATGAGTAAGATCGAGTCGGGGGAGTGGTGGGCGAGGGGCGGGA